CATGAGTCTGACCCCCTCCAACCAAAGACTCATTTATCACCTTTCAGCTTCAGCTTTGTTTATTAACCCAAGTCTGCAACACATAAAGAAGACTCTTCGAGGCACACAAGAAATCATCAATTCAGCTTGCTTAAAACCTAACATTGTCATCATTTTTATTTTAATAGATAATTTAGAATTACAATATGGTGCCACTGGCCATCTGACTTGTTGCTTCTCTCAATCATTTCATTGGTCTTAGGTCTTTCAAAAAGGTGGATACTTGGTTATATATAACCAAGGGTGAAAAGGCTCATTCTTTTCACCCTTTAAACTATTAACGAGCTGTAATTTGTGCACAGAATGTCTTTAAATGCACCAGCACAGCTTTCTAAAAGTGTAGCTCAAAACTGCTCCAGTACCAGGAGCTTGCTTAAGTAAATGTACTTAGTTATTTTCCAAAACGACTATGTTGTTGGTGTGGACTGTAATATAAAAAGGTGTTTCTGTGAAAAATGACCTGGGAGAACTGGGAGATCCTTTGTCAGGAGCCTTACATATATAAGCTTTAGCTGTACTTTAGTATTTTGTCAGCATTGTACAGTAGCTGAATAAACCTTTGTGAAGTTAGGCCTACATTGCACTACCTGCAGTAATTTTTACAGTGCCTTGCGAAAGTATTCGGCCCCCTTGAACTTTGCGACCTTTTGCCACATTTCAGGCTTCAAACATAAAGATATAAAACTGTAATTTTTTGTGAAGAATCAACAACAAGTGGGACACAATCATGAAGTGGAACGAAATTTATTGGATATTTCAAACTTTTTTAACAAATAAAAAACTGAATAATTGGGCGTGCAAAATTATTCAGCCCCTTTACTTTCAGTGCAGCAAACTCTCTCCAGAAGTTCAGTGAGGATCTCTGAATGATCCAATGTTGACCTAAATGACTAATGATGATAAATAGAATCCACCTGTGTGTAATCAAGTCTCCGTATAAATGCACCTGCACTGTGATAGTCTCAGAGGTCTGTTTAAAGCGCAGAGAGCATCATGAAGAACAAGGAACACACCAGGCAGGTCCGAGATACTGTTGTGGAGAAGTTTAAAGCCGGATTTGGATACAAAAAGATTTCCCAAGCTTTAAACATCCCAAGGAGCACTGTGCAAGCGATAATATTGAAATGGAAGGAGTATCAGACCACTGCAAATCTACCAAGACCTGGCCGTCCCTCTAAACTTTCAGCTCATACAAGGAGAAGACTGATCAGAGATGCAGCCAAGAGGCCCATGATCACTCTGGATGAACTGCAGAGATCTACAGCTGAGGTGGGAGACTCTGTCCATAGGACAACAATCAGTCGTATACTGCACAAATCTGGCCTTTATGGAAGAGTGGCAAGAAGAAAGCCATTTCTTAAAGATATCCATAAAAAGTGTCGTTTAAAGTTTGCCACAAGCCACCTGGGAGACACACCAAACATGTGGAAGAAGGTGCTCTGGTCAGATGAAACCAAAATCGAACTTTTTGGCAACACTGCAAAACGTTATGTTTGGCGTAAAGGCAACACAGCTCATCACCCTGAACACACCATCCCCATTGTCAAACATGGTGGTGGCAGCATCATGGTTTGGGGCTGCTTTTCTTCAGCAGGGGCAGGGAAGATGGTTAAAATTGATGGGAAGATGGATGGAGCCAAATACAGGACCATTCTGGAAGGAAACCTGATGGAGTCTGCAACAGACCTGAGACTGGGACGGAGATTTGTCTTCCAACAAGACAATGATCCAAAACATAAAGCCAAATCTACAATGGAATGGTTCACAAATAAACATATCCAGGTGTTAGAATGGCCAAGTCAAAGTCCAGACCTGAATCCAATCGAGAATCTGTGGAAAGAACTGACAACTGCTGTTCACAAACGCTCTCCATCCAACCTCACTGAGCTCGAGCTGTTTTGCAAGGCGGAATGGGCAAAAATTTCAGTCTCTCGATGTGCAAAACTGATAGAGACATACCCCAAGTGACTTACAGCTGTAATCGCAGCAAAAGGTGGCGCTACAACGTATTAACTTAAGGGGGTTGAATAATTTTGCACGCCCAATTTTTCAGTTTTTTATTTGTTAAAAAAGTTTGAAATATCCAATAAATTTCGTTCCACTTCATGATTGTGTCCCACTTGTTGTTGATTCTTCACAAAAAAATTACAGTTTTATATCTTTATGTTTGAAGCCTGAAATGTGGCAAAAGGTCGCAAAGTTCAAGGGGGCCGAATACTTTCGCAAGGCACTGTATACAGGCCTAGGCAACTCAGACCGTAGTAACATTTAGTAGTTCCCCAAGAATAACACCCCTCCTGTTTTCAGAGGTCAAACTCATGCAAACTTCCCCAGTACTGAGCTGATACCCCCAGATAGATTTGCAAACACGGAGACGTTGGAGTTACTCACACAGATAAAACTTTGAGTCAAAGTATAACTTAACAATGAAAATGTTTTAAGAAGCCTAACCCCGGAAGTTAAAATGCTATCTATAAGAAGTTCCCCCCCACTCAATACAGTGCAGAACAGGAATAAAATGGTCAGAGTCAACAGGTTAAAAAGGCACCATTAAATAAACACCACAAATGAAATATAAGAGGGCCTTGCCTCCCTGTGCATAAAACCATTCACACACCAAGTAAAGCCACTGTTAAGGAATAGTATAAAAATGATCAAAACAATTAAAACCAACAACGCTACATGTTACCTTGGCTGCACGTCACCCTAGCACAGCATGTGCGATGGACGCCAACTTCTACTGGATCACGCTCGCATCAATTATCGCTCCTGCCTACAACCAAAACAACCTGATTAAACACTTTGCACTGCGACAAATATGATCTACGACCAGTCCGTTGAACATACCTTAAAGGAAAAGCAGGACACAGATCGATGGAGGGAGATTCACTTCAGACCAGTTACGGCAGCGACCAGCACGGAAATTGCTTATCGCAACAGCATCTCCCCAGGTGTTATTATATCCATGATCGTTCCGACAAATTACTAACTGGCGGTGTAGGCGTGGCCAACCCGCCGGTTACAAAGTGACTGTCGTCCCTTAGGCTCACTGCCAGTGCCTAGAGCAGGAAATACCGGGATGCAATTAAAGTTCCTTCAAATAAACACAGAAGTTATTCTATAAAACAAGTTATTCTTTTTGGTACCAAGAAGGAAAGAATGGAAATATTGCTCAGCTTATAAGACAAAAGCTCAAGTTAAAAATATTGGTTTCTTTATTGACTTGGATCTGAGCTTCAGCATCAAGGTCATAACTAAATCAGCTTTTTATCATCTCAAGTAAATGGCGAGACTTAGGGCTGTCGTGTCCAGAGGAGATTTAGAGAACATCATTCCTGTTTGTAAATCTTTACACTGGCCACCAATTAGCTAGAGAATAGATTTTACTGCAGGTTAATAAATTCCTCAGTGGCATTGGACCAATACATGTCTGATCTTCTTGAAGCAACCCAACAGGATACTGAGAGCTTTAGGACGCAGTCAGCTGGTAGAACCTTGGGTCAGAACCAAACAGAGTGGATCTGCTTTTAGCTACTATGCTGCACACAGATGGAAACGACTTACTGATGACCTTAAATGTTCCCCAACTCTAACCACTTAAAATGAAGACTCTGTTTTCCTTTGTCTTTGACTGATTTGTTGCACTTTTGTTTCCTTTGTTGCATTTGGAGTGGCCTATAACTAACAGTACTGCACTGTAACTGCACTGCACCTGTTTCTGATCTTTGTGGATCAGTGTCTGTTTTCATTTTCATTTCATTTCCCTAATTTCTTTTTAACAATGCTTTGATTCTAGTTTTCTACTCTTCCACAAAGATTTCCATTCTGTGTTATGGGTCCTATGTGTCTTGTAAAGGACTGACACAAGGAGGTAATATGTATTTATCTACACTATTCTGTGTATTAAAACCTTCCTTATCACCACAGAGCTCTGTAACAACGTAGTAGGAAGTGTCCTCACACACCACATGAGGGCAGCCGTGCGCGTATAAAACACTACAGCTGCTTTTACTCAAATGCCATCAAATCATCAAGGCTTGAAAAAGGTGGCGACTCCCCTAATTTAATTAACAAACAAAACTGTCAGGCGTTTTAAACATTCCATGTGGACAAGTGGAGCTGTCACTGCAGATCTCCATTTAGGCTAGTCAAATGCCCTGCAGCTTTACAGTAGATCCCAGGCTACATTTTGCAAAAGGTGAAGTAATAAATCTTAGGCATGTTAACCTCTCAAGATGATAGCGTGTTTCAACTCAATATGATCAAATCTGGTAGATGGTGTTGGGTTTGTCAATCCAAATCAAACAGACAAAAAGTAAACGAGGTAGTAACTTGCTATTCATTAGCAGTGTCACTGTAGCCCCACAATGTCATGCACTTCTTCTTGCTATGCTTTAACAAACTAAATACCTATTAATACATTTGTTTCAACTGGAAACTCACCCGCATAAAACAACTAGATGTATATTTTATGCAAGCAAATGTATTAATTTTATTTATTTATTTTTTACCTTTTATCGTTTGTTTTTATCGACAAAACCAATTAAACTCCCCGATGAACGTCTGTAACTGATAGACTCTTTCAATGTGCGTTAGGAAAGTCGTTCATCACTGATGGCGAGTGTCCACACACAGACCATTGACGTTTTCTGTGCAGTCCACCCACACATACACACATAAGCACACCACCCACCCGCCCTATATGACACTAGTTGTTCATTCAACTCTGCGCTCACTCGCTCTCTCCCCCCGGTTCACTTGGCGAAGGTACAGAAATGCACAGCGCTCCTCCTCACTCCTGGTGCGCACTGGTCCTTGATGAACGCGCTTAATACCAAGTGGGAACCAAGTGAGACACACCTATAGCAAACGAGGGGGAAAAGTCGTCTTTTTTAGTTTTGGAAGCTGTGAAGCGTTAACTTAGCTCGTTCAATAGACAAAGTGAGACGGAATATGGATGTAGGGCCCGTTTATTTTACGACTCTGGGGGCTCAGACGAAAATTGACAGAAGGTCCCATCGGAACCTTTTGCAACCTTAGAGACATCATTACATCAAGAATATGGATCTCTCAGCTGGAAATGAGTCATCTACGTCTCTCGAGTGCGTCGGGGCTCAGTCAAACGAAGCAGGTAACGGGAGTTTGGAGACATCAAACATCACCTGCGGCAACGCGTCCACTTTCTCCATACCTCAGCGTGTGAGACCTAGAGGTAAGAGGACGCACAGGGAGTTAAGCAAAATGTGCAACTATGGCATCACTCTTCTGTTGTGTGTATTGTCTCTTATTGTGAAGCACTTTGTGAGGCCTGCGAGAGATATTATTGTATGTAACTTCACCACTTACCTCTAGTTGATGATCATAAGGAGGTATAACTCAACGAATAAGGAAAATTACTTTAAGTGTATCTTTCCTTTAAAATCCCCACCTTAGATTTATAGAGATGCAGTGTGTTGGGCCAGGTGATTCCTTAATTTAAATGAGACTAAACTTCCATCCAAGAATTTGTGTAACTTTTTGCACATAAATAAAAAATAAATTTCAAGTAATTTAATGGTCATTAATCAAAATAGGCCTACAGTGCACCTTTGCAATCTATGCTCATGGCAGACCAGAATAGGCAGGTTTATGATATCCAGATGTCCTAGTCCCTCTTTCTCAAAGCAGAGCTGTGTTATTACATTATATTTTGCTTTATTTTAAAGGAAATATTCAGTATAGTGTTGAAAATAAAATAAAAAATAGGTCAGACAGATGGCGAGAGAGAGAGAGAGAGCACCACAGTCAGAAATCAAATCCGGGTCATACAGGATTTATTCTCAAAAAAGTCAGATGGCTGTGTCACATTTTCATACTTCTGCATCCTGCTATTTCTATGTTTTTCAAGTTTTTATCCAAGTCATGTGACAAACAATAAAGAGTTTTGTATATTTTAGAGATTATAAAACCACTGAAGCAAATTTGTGATTTAGGAAAACTTCAGCAAAACTTACTTGACTTGTGAACAAGAGCATTAAAATATGTCATAACTCTACCTGCTGTCAGTTAACACGTGCTGTTCTCATCCCTAACAGTTATTTATTAGTGTTTCTATGTGTTTATCAGGTGTATGAGGACAACACTTAATTTACCTGTATATTCTGAATCACTTCCCTCACCTTCTGTCTTTATGCCACATCTTTTAGATGAGTCATTTTGAACTCTCAGACCCAGTACACCGAGCTAAATCTGTACAGTGCAAATTACAAAGCCACAAAGGTCACATCTGACAAGTACAGATTAAGACCACTGTGTCTCCTGTCTGGTGTTAATTGCAGCAGCATAGTTAAATTCAGAGCTTCATCATTTTTATGCTGCACTATTGAGTTATTTCGCCCACATGCTCTCTCACTCAGGGATGATCAATTCTTTCCAGTCAGACTTTTCACTGCCGTGTTTCTCTCTATTTTGCATTCCCACCATTTTTTCTAACAAGACCTCACACCCATCTAAAATCATCACCTAAAGAGAAAATTGTAGAAGTCTGACCCTGTATAGCAACTGTCACCACCATTCCTCACTCCAAGAATTGATTCCATTTCCATTACGTTTGCTCATTTTCCCCATCCCCTCTGTCTCTGTCTGGGGGAGATTGAGTTAAGTCAGATTTACATGCAATCACACTCATTTTTCACTATATCAGGGATGTCTAAGAATATACCAATTGCCAGCCGACATATAGTCAGCAGGTTTTCATTCTTACCAGAAGGATTTCATATTTTCTCTGATCAGTGAAATAACTGGGGGATTGTTCAGATTTGCCAAAACATATCCCCTGACTGTTGCACTTGGGTGCACTTTGTCTTCATCAAGTTGAAAACAACATGTATAATATTGATGATGCCATCAGGGACCCTGGAGTAAGTAACTAACAATTTCACTAGGCTAGGGCTCTGAAACAACAATTTATTATAGAAATTCTGTGTTAGAAACTGCTTTTGGCTTGGACGGAACCAGGGGGTGGCCTGGGGTGGCACTGACCACCCCCAGAATTTGATTGGCCACCCCTACTAAAGTCAAAGTGAGATGCTTCTCAATATTAAAGAATGAAAAAATGAAAAACAATGACAAATTGTTGCTTTAAATACAGCTAACATGTCTTGATATTGGTCAAAAGAGTTTTATTTTATATTATGCACGCAGCATAATATTTGCATTCATTTCTCTGATTGTGCTGTGGAGTGTTTGGCATGATTCGCCTCAGTGTGGGGGGACGACCACTGTGCAGCAGTAAAATAAGGAAAGCAGTCAGAGTTGGCTAAAGAAAGCACTATGTATTTTTACTTTTTACACAAAATAAACTATTTGTGTCGTAATAATGTATGGTTTATTATCTCATAGAATTGGGGGTTTTAATTTACTTTTTACATATATATAAATTGTGCCACCCCTCTTTGAGTCTGTGCCCCAGCCTGGCCACTCCATCTAAAATTTTCTAGATCCACCCCTGGCTGCTGGAGCTTGAACGACCTTTACAGATAAGGGCAGATCAAACAAAACCTTTTCTAAATTTATCTAGAGCACATTCCCCATTTTTATGCCAGTGTAGCATTAAGTTTGTAGATGGAGTATCCTTTCAAATAGTGTGAAATGTACCCCATGTGTTATCAATATGTCTGTGAAACATTTCAACCTTTAAATACTGTATGTGGATACAGGCACCCACCCCTGACACAGGCACCAAACACATCTCAAAGTGAGGGAAAACTTTTCCCAATTCTGGGAGGAAGACATGGCTCAACCAGACAACAACAGAATATCTTCACATTAAATGCAGCCTAGGTGTTGTCTCTGATTTGGAACAAAACCTGCAGACTCCCTGTGACACATGGTTTGACCCCCTCCTGTAGACATGACATTGATAATAATGGCTTTACAGGATGCCTGTCACACTTTGTTTACTGCACAGAAAAACAGGTGAATAACAATATATTTATACAGTAGGATCCTGGGTGACTGTGGTGCAATTCATCATATACCAGTAGGCGATTATTATTTTGGAGATGGTAATGTTGGAAGCAAAAGAAGGGTTATCAGTCACTGCCAGGAACAAACCACCGTATTTATGCTACAAAGCAGTTTATTCCTGACCAAAGGTATTTAGGCAATAATTACTAAAACCCTGTTTTGCTCCCGCCCCCACTTTTTGTCGGCACTCCACCTTTCCTTTTGTGTGCATTCTCCATCGCTCACACCCTTTCATTTCACTCTGCCTTTTGAGAATTGAGGTGTTTAATACGGAGCGTGCCAGCACTATGCACCAAGCAACCAACATATTGCTCTATATTTCGACCGCTGTGATGAGGGGCACTGGTGTTCATGTGTTGTAGTCTATCAGTCAGCAGAGAGTGGTTTCATTCAGTGGCTGTGTCAGCTGTTCTGGGGTGCAGTTGGCTTAGTGACAAGCCTAAGATGACATTTACCATGCTGGATTGGCCACTAGCTCTGACATTTACCAATACCTCAGTCTTATGGGAGTAGAGTCGGCTTTTCTCTGATATCTGCAGCAACATGATGCCCAACTGGGAAAAAAGTGACACGGTGCATAATATTAAACAGAAAAGGGGGCTGTAATTCATAGTCAATATCATGTCTGATATACTGAATGAGAGAAGTATAAGAAACCTTAAATATTTATGGATGGAATAGGAACCTCATTAATAATTCATTCACTATTTCACTGTGTTGCTAATAATAGCCTCTGCCACTAACTTTTCACTTCAATCATTTTAATGGTTTGTAAACAGGGAATGAGTTCACCAGCTTTCCACATCAAACATGATGGCAAAATAACAACAGATGTGTTGGAACTGAGGGGGTGGAAAAGTTATAATGGATTCAACTGTGTAAAACATGTATCAGTATGTTCACAAGGGCATCTTAATATAAGAGAATGCATGTAACTTTATGTGATGGAACCAAATACACATACATTACTGAGATAATACATGGACTCTAATAAGATATATATATGCATAAAGCAGTATATGCTGACCTGTCACAATGAGATTAGTTAATTGCAAGCAGAAAATCCTTAGGAGCTGCAACAGTCCCTTTTCCTGCAGCCTGCTCAGCTGATCTCTGTGCCAGGTAAGACCACAGTCAGACATGGAAGATGGGCACTGCACAATCATTTGAGTTACCTCTAGTGCAGGCTTCCCTTCTGTCATTTGGCTGTTTATGGTAAAATAGCACTCTAAATAATTGTTGGAGCTGAGTACAAACAAAACCTTGCCAAAGCGTGTGGTGTTGTCAGTGCTGGTTTCTGTAACGACCTAATTTTTTCCTGTAAAGCTGTAGTAGTAAATGTAGGTAGTAGCTTCAGTGTTTAATATTATATATAAAAACCGATTTTTCTTTTTTTCCCCCCAGAAGTCAAGAATGAACATCTACTGTACAGTCAAACGTATATGGAGTATTTTACTGCAACATAAATATGGTTGTGGAGGTGCCTACTGCATCTCCCAGTATCACTATATGGGATAATCAGGTGACCTCTAGTAGTTGTAATAATTAAGACACAAGCAAATGAGAAAATTTGGTGATGGAGAATACATTTATACAGCAGAGCAAATAAGTTTGTGTTAGAAGGATGGGTCACAAAATATCTGACTTTCCCTAAGAGAAACATGTTCCTGAGAATCAAATGAGAAGATTGATACTACAATGTTTGTACACTAAGCATAACGCTACAATGACTAAGTAGTTTAGCTTAACATAAAAGCTGGAAACAGCTAGCCTGGCTATATCTAGAGGTAGGAGAATTTACCTAACAGAAACTTATATCTAATTTCTTGTAAACACAGCACTTTTCAGTGGCCAGGAACAGAAACGACCTGGAGGCTTACTGACACAGTGAATTGAACCAACAATGCATACAGATATGAGAGTGGTATCGACCAGCCTCCCAACAAATAAATCTTGATGCATACCTTTAGCTGTACTAAGACAAAAGACTTTCATCCTCCGACAAATAAGAAAATGTATGACAATGTGAAAATAAAGTGACAATATGAAAGGGTGATTTTCTCATCAATCTGCAACTCCCTGAGCTTTATGGAGTTTTACTCTGAACTTCAGCTCATTATTTACTGTAGCTGTCCAACTCACAACTGTACTGATTTGGTTCAGCCTCATCACTCTCATAGTGTGACAGAGAGCAGAGACACAGCGACAAGCTAATGAACACAGTGTAACATTTAGCAGCAAAGAACCTGACATTTCCCTCAGGAGCTGGTGGTGACCAAAAACGGAGCTAAAAGAGATAATTCTCACTTTCAACATGTAGTCAGTAACACTACTCCAAATGAATGAATGTTCCCTTGTAACTGCTGGATGTGTAAATCAGCAGCTAACATATTCAACTTTAAAAGGTGATAACGTGCACTATGTGGCCAAAATCAAATGCCCTATTGCAGGTGTGAGAAATATTTACCAGAAGTACCAGATGATAAAATGCATCCCTCCCTCAAACACTATAAAAGCCTGCAGAGAAACTGTAGACCTGTCTATGCATCTCTTACCGACTGCACAGCTCTGTCAAGCTGAAGACATTCTGGTCACCCCTCGGCTGTGAGTCAACAATATTGATTGCAGTCTTTTTGAACACAGTGCTGTCTTTATGTGGCAGAAATACTAAAGTGTGCCACATACTAGGCAATGAGTGCAGGTATAAAGCATTGGAGAACAGAGTGATTAATAGAAATATTGTACCTCAGCTCTACTCACATGAGCAGGGGCAGTCATAAGAAATTTTGAAGAAACCACTAGTGTGCTGTGGGAATTATCAGCGTTTCCAGTGTTACACCACTATTTGGCTTTTATTAGACAGAAGCCAGTGTAATATATTTTATTAGATGATGGAGAGATTTACAAACGAGACAGCATTGGTTCATTTCTCTTGCAAATCATCTTTCTGCACATTTTCTCACATTATACTCATGCAGATGTATTGTATGTGGCCCCTCGTGTTCTCAGAAGCTCAAAATAAGCATTTTTAGCTGCTGCCGATTGCAAGTCTGTTCTTGTAAAAAAAACCTTGATGTTCTGTCACCAGAACATACCCACCATATACAGTAAGAGGTCGCTACTTTTTGTTTGCATGGGAGTGTTTGAGACAAATGGTGAAGCTACATGTCATTAGACTGGAAGACTGCATGTGGGCGTCTAAGACAGAGAGACAGACAGGCTTGCGTTGACCAAACTGAACCTCAATCTATCACTAAGCCTGAAAGTAATACAAAAGCATTTCAGATTGGCCGGATGGGCAAGAGCATTAAATCAAGTGTCACACATCACGTACTTTCATCTGAACTGTTTTGAAGAAGCTGCATCCTGTTTTTCATGTTCCTCTTTATAACCTCATGCCAGCTCTTGGGCAGCAGCCTGACCTGAATTTAATGCTGCTTTTTGATAAACAGAAGATGGAGCTCAGTGCCCCAGTCAGCCATGCACAATACACATACAGGCGGGTGACAGACGAATAGAAAAACCAACATGAGTAAGGTGTTGAGCCACCACCTGCCACCAGAACAGCTTCAGTGCTCCTTGGCATTGATGCCACCAGTCTCTGAACTCTACTGGAGGGATGAACACCATTCTTCCAAAAGATGATGGTGGTGGAGATGCTGTCTGACACACTGGTTCAAAATCTAGTTTTCAACTGGGCTGAGACCTGGTGACTGTGAAAGTCATAGCATATGATTCACATCATTTTCATACTGATCAAACCATTCAGTGACCCCTCATGTCCTAAGGATGGCAACATTGTCCTCCTGGCAGAGACCACTCATTCAGGGTTTTCTAGTTTTAGTTTTAGTTTTAATTTGTCACCTGCTGTTTTTATATTCTAGGCTTTTATATTTTTTATGCTTAATACAATTTGTGATGTTGAGAATGAATCATGTGTGATCCTTATAAAATAACACAGAGTGCTAGAGAACATCAATCAATGATTGGTATAATTACCTCATGATTTTTAACAAATAAAACATTTAGATGGCCTGGGGTCAATAAAATAACTATTTACTGCTGCAAAAACAAGTTGCTCAGACATTGTGACATGATGAAAAATTGTCACCACATATGAGTTGTTTATATGTGGCTGTCCTTGCTGCTTTTTAAGCATTCTACTTTTAATTGAGAAGGGAAGGAGAGGAAACAGAATGGGGAATAAAGCAAAGGACACAAACTGGAGAAAACACCTAAGATGGAAAAGGCTGACGATTAAATTGAGACACCTGAATGATGAAAATAAAGGTAAAATATCTTTATAGAAACAGGAATGTAGCGAGTGAAAGGAAAATAGGAAGAGAAATATAGAGATAATGATAATTGTGTTGGGGAACAAACCCTCTCCTGTTCAATTTGCAGAAACCACTGCCTTTGAGAAATGTTAGGTGGTACAGAGTATTTTCTTGGGATTAAGGCTTGATTATCTTTGGTTACATATGCCTCTACAACTGTGTCAGTGAAGTCTGAGCTTATGTGTGTGATGTAATTTGTGTCCTGTAGATGTGGCACACATGGGTGCCTCTAATCCTCAGGAGCAGTAGCTAACCCATTAAAAAGCATTAATGTGAAGACAACAGAGATGGCAGATAGCAACATAACACGTTACATGACATAATTCAGTGAAGCTTCTACTGGTTGAAGGCACAGACAGGCTTTGGACTACAGGCTACAGTATTTTTTTTTACCTTATAGTGTTTTGCCTCTGCTTGGAAGGTGAAAAATGTTGACTGCCAAATTTGGTTCATAACAAAAGAACTGATAATGGCACTGAAGGGCTGAAAACCTGAAGTCAGTTAATAGTAATTGGTTGTGGTGGACTGCCTTTTGTACCAACCACTATAAAAGCTATTAGCCTTTTAACTACTGATTTGCACCATTATCACAGATGTATTTTTACAGAGTGTTTCTAAAATCCTGTATCCTCAAGACACCAAATCATTTATTTATTTATTCATTCATTCAGGAAGTCCCATTGAGATTTCCCTTTCACAAGGAAGACTGGCCAAAATGGTGGGATTTAATCACAGACAGTTTAATAAAACAAAACAAAACCACTTAACAATGTTGCAGTTCTATAAAAGAGCAGTCGTTATAAAAACAAAAATACCCCACTAGTTTAAACATTACAGATACATCTGGCAAATGAGATGGATATCAAGGAGTTTACCGTGGTCTTAAATTTGGTTACAGAGATACTGACACTCTAACATCCTCTCTACTCTACTCTTTCTCTGTGCCAGATGAGGACCACACACTGCGGATTCTTCTCTACTCACTCATCTTCTTCTTGAGTGTGTTTGGCAACCTGCTGATAATCGTAGTGCTGACGGTCAATAAGCGCATGCGCACCGTGACCAACAACTTTCTGCTGTCGCTTGCAGTCAGTGACCTGATGATGGCCATCTTCTGTATACCCTTCACTCTCATCCCCAGCATCCTCAAGGACTTCATCTTTGGAGCCACCATGTGCAAGATAGTGTCCTATCTCATGGGTGAGAGAAGGGGGAACTGTGGGGGAGTTAGAGGAGGTGAAGAATGAAGATGGGTGATGAGAAGGCAACAAAATTTGGAGCTGAAAAGAGTGGCTAGAAGACTAAAGGTTTCTATCTATATGTCGCCAACACTCAGCAGTATATCTATGGTGAAAAGTAAATTAAGATTCAGACATATAGGAATTACTATTTTTTTATTTAATCTTATGACCTTAAATCTTGCATAAATTTCATATTGAGAATTTGAGCAATCAAATAAAGTGAAGGAGATAAATACAGAAAGCTCAGTAGTAAATGAGAAGTGACTTCAAACACAGCCATGTAACTTTGATTTGTCAAAAGCCTTTGACAAGCTAAATGGCAGAGAAAGGAGAGAAAGACCTCTGAGCAAAACCTGAAATTCTAGCCAAAACTCTTGGTGGGTTTAATAAAACAACTAGTTGCTTTTGATACAACAAACTTGTTAGATGAAACAATAGATAGATTAACAATTGTTTGCATGGACATCCTATATATTCTTTAACTTAAAAGCTACAGCCAATCAACACTTTTAAACTTCAGGTTTGAATTCAGCACTACAAAATCCATAAAATTTGCACATTTCAATTCAGAAGCAGAAAACTTTTTCTTTTTAAATTGTAGACCAGTTTTAGAAATAAACACATCTCTCGATTAAATACAATATACTTTAGATATAAGGGAATATTTTCATGTTCTACACTCAAAAATTCAATTCTATCCTTGTCTATGAGGACGAATAAAACATGAAAATGTAGCATGCATAAAAATGGGGAAGTAAATAATAAAAGAGGTCAATGAAGTCAGCCCTGTGATAGGCTGGCGACCTGTCCAGGGTGGACCCCGCCTCTCGCCCAGTGTCAGCTGGGATTGGTATAGATAAAAATCATTAATAACACATAAAAAGAGCACAACTATTCTGTTACCCCTCAAAGAAAACACTGGGAACTGAATAGAAAAGGTGGATTAGGTAAAGCACAGAGCTTGAGAATGAGGGAGAGGCATCATGCGGATACACTGATGAAAACTGTTCCTAGGGTCTGTAGACAACATAGTGCACCACAGGAACATGACTCACACACACACACACACACACACACACACAGACGTACATATAACATATATTTTTGTGAGGATACTCATTGACACAATGTGTGCCCCAGCTAAATGCCTAACCTTAACCGTAAGCTAAACCTAATTCTAACATGAATCCTAAAACCAAGTCTTAGTCTTAGAAAGTGAGGACCAGCCAAAATGTCCTCACTCTGCAGCAAAAACTGGTTTTTGGTCTTCACTATATAGCAAGTACAAGAACACACACACACACACACACAAAGTTTGTATTCTTGCGGAGGACATGAGCAAGAGAGGTAACGAGTAATTTCCCGTCTTGCTGTGCCAGAAGGGAGATGGCAGATAACATCAGTGGCCTAGGCCAACATGATTTCCTCTACCACAAGATTTAGATAGCCATCCCCACTTCCTCGCCTTGTGCTATAATAATTTGCTAGCAAGTCTACACAGATCACCACATTCTGATCTCAGTTTTGATTGTAGATATTATGTGCACATCAACAAACATGTTTTGTTACTTTTTATTACATGTCCAAACTCTATTCAATGCATCTAGCTGTAATAACTTTTCATTCAGCAAAATAAAAGATATCTGAGAGCAGACAGTACCATGTTTATTTATTTCTAAATAGTGTAATAATATGTATTGTTTTCCTTCAGGCGTATCAGTCAGCATCTCCACATTTAGCCTGGTTGCCATAGCGATCGAGCGCTACAGCGCCATCTGTAACCCTCTGAAATCCAGAGTGTGGCAGACCCGTTCCCATGCCTATCGAGTGATTGCTGCTACATGGGTGTTGGCCTTCATCATCATGGTCCCTTATCCAATAATCAGTCACCTGGAGTCTTTTGAGCGCCATGACAACACCACAGCACACCAGTGTCGCCACAGGTGGCCCCTCGCAAAGGCAGAGCAGACCTGGTGAGTTCTTTCTTCTCACAGTATTTAGTAGCATACAAGGAAAATACTTAGGTAAAGTCCAAACAGTACTTGAGTAAATGTACCTGGTTAATTTAGACTGGTGAAAAGAAATGAGAAGGAAAAGATGCAAGAACACAGGAATATAGACTGATGTCCATATAGACTGATGTTTTATTTTATGCTTTGACTGAGACAAAGTTGTTTTTGAGAATACAGTAACAGCCAGTATAGCCTTAAGTATGCATACACTACTGTAGATAGAATAGAAAATTAAAGAATACATCAAACAGCCATAACATTATGACCACCTGCCTGTTGCATCTAGTGTGAATTTGTTTGCTTCCATATTTCTACTGTCAGGAAGAACATTAATGTGTTGACCATTCAGTGAAAAAACATGTAAAAAGAATGTAAACTGTGGTCGAGAGGCCGAGTTAGAGATATTTTTAGACACATTTAGCATCCTCCCCACTCCAGGTGTGACATCACCACTATAGCTGCTGAAGGTTTTTCTTCATAGAGACCAATGTACAGTATTTCTCATTTTCAACCATATAAAACAAAATGAAATCTTTTGAAAAGGATGAGTGAAATTTAAAAGTTTAATCTACAGTAGATCATCCTCATCATCATTGAGTCTTGGACGTCTATGACCCTGTCGCCAGGTCACTGTCTGTCCTTCCTTAGACACTGTTGGTTGGTACTAACCACTGCAGACCAAGAACACCCACCAAGACCTGCGTTGTGGGTGATGATCTGCCCCAGTCTTCATCCACCACAGTTTGGCCCTTGTCAAAGTCACTCAGATCCTTACACTTGCCCATTTTTCCTGCTTCCAACACACCAACTCTGAGGACTGAATGTTCACTTCTGCCTAATATACCCCACACATACTGACAGGTGCCACTGTAACTAGATAATCATTGTTATTCACTTCATCTGTCAGTCATCATAATGTTCTGGCTGATCGGTGTATGTCTGACATTCTAGAGCTAGAGAAACAGAACAGCTCCATGGGCTGAGCTGTAATCAGCAAAACAGTACGATACATGACATTTGTTCAGTTGGAGATAATCACTTCACACAACTGGTTACTAAAAATTGGTGGCCAAGCAGTCATCACACAATGCACTGTAACATCTCTCCTGCAGGTTTGTCAGTACATTTCATCAACATATTAAAAAGCAATATAAGAACAAACTGACACAAACATACGTTCACCACAATGTCTACTTCCTGTTATGATGACTTACCTTTTTGCAGTGCAAAAGAAAAAAGTTTACTGCTCTAACAAATAATTCAGTGTAATTCAAGGGCACTTGGTAAATGTCTTCACTAGGAAAATAAAACACCTTGGTAGTATTGTAACGTCAACTAGATTTATGCAGTAGGTGTGTTTCTTCTCCTGGCCAGGCGTCATCAGTTGAATTTACAGGGTAGCTGAGTGTACAACAGCATATAAAACTCATCTTAGCAAAACTTGCTGTCAGATCTCTTTCTTTTTCTTATTACTCTCCCATTGTTTGCTGTGTGGTCAAAGTGCTGTTTTGTATCAAATAAACTTTAGTCCAACTGTGGCTGCATCTGAAGGAGGTTTGTGTGTGTCTGTGTACTTTCAACAAGGCACGCCACACTGAAACATCTCATCTACTTCCATGTTTGGACCTGGACTCTACAGCTTGCACCTTCTGCCTGTTGTGTTTTTCTGGAAACATTAGGGAAGATGAAAAGAACAGATGGATGTTTAACTGGGTTTTTGTTTTAGACTTAAGTTGAAGCAGCCTTTGGTGTAATTTCAATTCACTCTGTGTATATACAGTATGTGCTGCTTGGTGCACAGTTATAGGATTTTTTTTTTACGTGTGCGTATTGTCGTGCTTTTTGCTGAGCATTTATTTTTTCTGTAAAAACAATGCTTTGTGACTCGAAAGTAGATGATCACATCAGATGCACAGTCTGGGATGACATGTGGGTTTATTTGCATTATTTTCCTTACATGCAACTTACTTGCATGTAAGGAAAATACATGGTGACTCTAAATTGCCCATGGGTGTGAATGTGAGTGGTTATCTGCATCCCTGTGATAGACTGGTGACCTATCCAGGGTGTACCCTGCCTAAGGACAGCTCTATGACCCTCTATAGGAGAAGCTAAAAGATGAATGGATGAATCAAAATTGGGATTTTTACCTCTCTCATGTGTCTCTTATAGGTACATTCTGCTTCTGCTTGTACTGTTCGCAATCCCAGGGGTGGTGATGATTGTGGCTTATGGACTGATCTCGAGGGAACTTTATAAAGGCATCCAGTTTGAGATGGGCCACAAAAAGGACACTACTGGTAAGACATGCACACTACATGTGGAAACCATTAATAATAATAATAATAATAATGTAAAGCTTTGATTTTTGTCCTGGAGAGCAACTTATAAAGTACAAAAGTACGCATCACTTCTGTGGAGGTAAAACTGCCCGTATGAAAGAAAGAGAAACTCCTTCTGTAGAGTGTGCTGCTCCTGAAGCAAGCTCGGTGGTTGAGCCAGAGACTTTGAATGTTTGCATTCACATTTTATCCTTGTACACTTCTGTTTTTCAGAGATTACCAAAGCAATAAAGGACAGTACATAGCAAAAATAAAATATAAAACACTTTCAGCAGGGAGGTAAAAACATTTACATTTCTTTCTTTTGCTTTTCATGCAGGATGATTATTAGTTTTTAAATTGAACTGGTCCTATAGGTCCATGTTATGATATGACCCTGAGATGTGCTTATTTGCTGTAACTATCACATCTCAGGATCATATTAGTAAACATAAACCTGATAACATAAGCTTGATGAAACTGAAACCTGAACTTCACACAAATTAACTTTTCATTTCTGTTTTGTTTTCTGTACAACTAAAACCACTAGACACATGATGACCTCTGTTTTTCCCCAGCATTTTCCCAGTCTTTTTAAATACCCTGGTACGGTCATTGGCAGAAATGCTGAAACACCAGCACGAGACAGTGGAACACAACCCAGACTGTGTCTTAGTAAACACAGTATTAACATTTTTGACCAGTTCATCACTGTAGTAGGCTATAAAGGCTTGTTATTTCAATAATTTTTAAATATATAAATGTGCTGGATCAAGCGATGTTTCCTATTTGACTTTCATCATGATGTGTTGGCCGCAGTGCCATTTAACTGGTGAGTCAAATTGTGTCTCTTAAATACTGTAAATATCATCACATTATCCAGTCACTAATTGTTAACATTCAGCACAGCATCTTTTGCATGATTAATGTCAAAAAAGAGAAATTTCACTTTAATCAAGAATTGCATTCATGCCCCAGTCACCCTAATGTGTGCAGGTTAGGTGAAAAATAACCTTCTGTGGGCATATGAGAGTAGGTCTACAGCAGAGTGAGAGCAACATGGAGTGTGTTTGCTGCTACTCCATTAGAGGATAGAACTGGCTGGCAGCTGCTGGCCTGGGCATGACCATCTGTTTGGTCTCAAACATACAGTAAAGAGATTTCCAAAGGGGAAAAAGCTTGACAGACAAAGTGCATGGGGGGGAAATGTGAGGGTCTCTGTACAGCACCAGTTCCTGTTTGCATTTGTGTGCATTAGGGCACTTATTACTGTTATTGGTGTACTTTGTCCTTTATAGGAGGAAAGCTGGGCTTTTAAATATTACCAATAAATTGATATTCCCTGATAGATGATTACCAGTACTCAGAGAATTACTACTCACTCGTCTTTCCAATAAGCTGAGCAGCTGCTCTTTAATGATTCATGAATCACACAAACCTTTCACTTTCCTCACTCTAAAATTTTGTTGTATGTGTTACAATGACAATAAAGGATTATCTATCTATCTATCTATCTATCCTGTGCTGCCCCTGTTTCCAGCTTTACCACACTCATTGTCTGCTCTGATCACCCTTACCCATCAGCAATCAAGTGACTTTGTACTAAAGCCACCAACTGCCATGTCCTAGCTGCGTTGTGTGGCTCTCCAGTGTTCACAATCCATTTCCATGTTGTTCCCTTTGTTCTCGACTGAGTTGTTGCTTGCAATCACTGTCTAATGGACTCGCTGTTCTGTTGTAGTATTCACGTGCACCACATTTGTGTATGGACTCAGTGTCTGTTTTCAAGTTTCATGCTTTTATTATTTAGTTACAGACTCTAGTATTCCACTTAGCAGAAGTATGTTCTCCTGGGCCTGTTAGATCCTTTGTTTGTTTCTCACGCATAACTCTCCCAGTTTCAGTTTTGTGTTGTGCACGATCAGAGCCAGGTTTTAGGAAAGCCTTATTTAGTTCTACACCCAGTGTTCTTTTTTAATTTTATATTTTTTATTTCACATTGTCTAGTTAAGTTACTTTTGTTGTCAGCCTTTAGTTTATGCCACACTTTCATCATGTCAGCCACTGGGTTCATCAACTTTTTTAACTACACAAGGTCTTTTATAAAGCTCTGTTTTCCCTTCACCACGTCCCTCCTTTTCTTCTGTTTGCATTAAATAATTCCTGCAAACAGTGACAGTGATATATTTGATAGGATCAATTTTGCATCTCATTCTAGCTGAATTGGAAAAAGAAGGACTAGGACTCAAGAGTTCCCATTTTAGGCAGTTTACTTTGACAAGCTCGAATGAGATTCACTTTAATACAGACAGATACATGAAGATACATTCTTTCACACCCTTCTAATTTCCCTGCTTCTTTCTCTCCCTACTCCTTCCTCCTTCCTTCCACTGTACTCTACAGGTGGTACTTAGAGTAACTGGAGAAATCCATGGCATCCACATGGTGAATTTAGCCTATTCTAGTGACCTTTATTGTGATTCTAAAATCATATAGCTCCTTATACAGAGGCAAAAAATGCAGACATTCTGGCTGCATGAAACATTACGTACAGTAGGAGGAAGGTTGTTTAAAATATGCATACACTGTGTTGTACACAAGTGTCTCAGATGCCTCATCTATTCTTGGAGTATGGCCAGTTTTTGCATGGACTACATATAAAATGAGATTGAGTGATGAAGAAACGTGTGCTCATGTTCCTTGAAAATAACTTAGATTTTGGTTGTTTTATTACATTAAATTCAGAGAAATACCCTCTCTTATACTTTGCCCTCCCACACAGATGTGAAGAATGGCCTGACCTCCACTGTGGCTAATGATGATGGAGATGGTTGCTATGTTAATGCTGTACAGCAGCCACACTCGATGGAGATGTCCACCATGGGGGCATCAGGCAGGTCAATCAAGGCAGAAAGGCCACGCAGCAACACATCTGAGGCCAAGCTGGAAGCTAAGAAGAGAGTCATCCGCATGCTGGTGGTCATTGTCGTCATGTTCTTTCTCTGCTGGATGCCGCTATACTGTGCCAACACCTGGCGAGCTTTTGATGACACCTCTGCCAAAAATGCCCTCTCAGGTGCCCCAATCGCTTTCATCCATTTGTTGTGCTACACCTCTGCCTGCGTCAACCCAATTATTTACTGCTTCATGAACACACGTTTCCGCAAAGCTCTGCTCGCCACGTTTTTGTGCTGCACGGCGGTTTGCCGCCGTCATCATTGTTGTGGGCTACGCGACAGCGAGGAGGATGTTATGGCAACAGGAGCATCAATGTCCAAGTTCAGTTACACTACTGTCAGCACCATGGGAACCTGCTGAGGCAGAAAGATGCAGGCACGACCCAGAAGAGACAGTTACTACAGCAACACAGTACCCCGCATCCTTTGTCTTTATGCCATTCTGTGCTAATAGGGATAGTAATGTGGACTGGAAAAGCAGTCCATATAGTGTAGCAGTATATAAGCTCCACCTACAGCATGACTGTGAGTCAAGTTATATAGAGGTCATTTAATGAAACCATGTCTTAGAGTGTAAATACCTCCATAGCTGTAGTGAAAAAGCACAAGTAAGGCATTTGTGTGTGTGTGTGTGTGTGTGTATTGGTGAAGATGTGAGGCAGGCAGTTTTGATAACGTTGTAGGCATCATGTAGCTCTAGGAACGGCAAGACCTTTTGCTATGTAGTTTTAAAGTTGCATTTTATATTTTGCTGTCAGTTGTTAATGTTTATCTGCGTTACAGATGATAATGCCTTGCTGTGGACTAAGTGCCTGCCACACAGTACTATATTATATTTGTCTGCTGTTGATTTTCCACATTCGACGCAGCACCATAATCACAGGCAAGTTGTAATCTGAGGATCTTAGAGGTGGAGCTTAAAAGATCTTCTAAGCAAACTTAACATCCTCCTCAAGTTAGGAATTTCTTCTACAGTTAACTGATAAATTAGCAGGATGTCAGTCTTACGTGGTTCCAGAAACCCCCTCAGTGGTATTATGGTGACTGTTTACCAGTAGATGGACAGTGTTGTATTTACAGTGTTTTGTTTTTAGAGATGTTTTTTCTCCAGTGTATGCTGGAATGTGTGTAGTGTGTCATTGCAACTGAACACAGTAGCAAATGTGGAAAGGGTGACTTGGTGCCTAAATTACCACAACTGCCTGATGCAGCAAGTACCAGCACTTTGTGGAGGACATCTGAAAACTATTTAACAGTCCCTACATTGTTATATTCCTGATACCATATTAGAAAAAACTTCAAAAAGTCCCCCAAGTACAACAGAAGTTACAGTATATGCTGTTATATGATAACGAGAGGAGTAAGACGATATTATGGTCACTAAACATACAGTGCCAGACACTTCAGGGCATACGTAGGTATACAGTATTTTACACATATTAATATATATTATAATGCTTGAAATGAAGCGTCTGTATTTTGTAGTACTGTAATAAAAACTAATGGTACAGTATCAGCAGACCACCAGACCACCATAGCATGTGAATCCAGTAGCACCAAGTATTGCTTCTATTGCTGAGTCAGATCTGTGAACCCTTGTGCAGCTAATAAACAGTCAGGCTTACCATTAAGCTGGAGGCCTCAAAGGTGAAAACTTATTCATGACACTACTGTATGTTCATGTCAGCCGATGTAAAGAGCAGGACAGGAGTTCAGTCTTTTTCAAAAAATAAGACATTTAACCAAATAATTAATCTTAGTCATGCTAATATCCAAGCAACTCATAACCATGTTATTTATGATCTGAGCACAGGTTAATGCTGAAACAAGGAGACACATGTATTGGAATTTTGTCATACAGTAGCTTATACATCCAGTAAATGTTACTAATATGTTATATTTGTTACCATACAAGTTCTGTATGGTCACACTGAAGAGGGATGTTTTGAACATTAAGTTCACTTCAGCTTTACAGTATATTTTAAAAGAAGTAATAAGAGGATGAAGGATGCAGAATATTTACAAATACATTCAGTGACTTGCTGTCCTTATGGAGCTCACCTGAAGGCTGTGGAATGGCAGCCAGGTTTCAGTGGTCTCTGTTCATCAGGGCCTCTCTAGCATGGCTGACTCTGCCTCGCCCACTCACCTCACAGTAATTGTGTTACCTCCTCAACCCTGCCAGGTGGAGTGGATGAGCATATTTCACTGAGTGCACCAAACCACAGTGCTGTCAGTTGCACAACTAATGGAAGTATGACCTGCATTTGTGAGCATTTTTTGGAAGATTCTACATCAGCTTGCATCTTTCGTGGTTTATTGTGTTCACTGTTCCCTTTGTGTTTAACATAGAAATCACACTGATGCCTTACTGCAGAGGATTAAACTACAGTAAGCCAGAGAATTGCATGGGCTGAAACCTCAATTTGTGTTAAGGAAAGCTTAGTAAATGACAATCTTGAGGATGCACCTAGATATCTAGAAATTTTCAGATGCTAATCAACTGGTATTTGCTACTCCTGTATCTTTAATACACTGAAACAAACTTACCTTCAGGCATGGCAAGTATAGAAAGAAGGGCAAAGCCCCATCATCTTTAAAACATGAAAGAACATGCTCATCCAGCTGCTGACAATGTCTTTGGGTTTGATGGCCCCTTTGTATCTGTGGCTTTGATCTTAAAAATATGCACATACATTGAAACCAAAGTGAGATCATGGTAAACACACTGTGTTTTTCAAATTGAAATGCCAGTCTGATTTCACAGTCCCATGACAGACATTTCAGACATTTCATAACATGAATGCAGTTCTCCTGCAGTAAACAGTAGACGGGAGGTATTTTTGCATCTGCTACAAGTGTTTCCCAGATAGAGGAATACCATACAGCTGTTTTTCTTGTTTTTTTTTTCTGAGTGCCACTTGGAATGTGTTTTTCTTTTCTGGAAAGCTATGAGAGGCTGATTTCCCTGTGGTGTGACAGAGGCCATTTGATGTTATGACTTGCTCCCAGTGTTACCCCATCTAGTCAATACAAGCACAAATACAGCACACAGAGGTACTGTTTGATAAACTAGTTATTATGCTTGTTCACAACCAGTTTTAGACAGATGCAATTTATTACCCTTTGTCTGCACGAAAATGAATACTGACCATGAAAATGAAAGCTGTGATAACAAATCTGACATGGTTGGGTTTCATATCCACCTATTTATAGATACATATCAAAGTAAACAGAGGGATTAAAGGTTAGTGTAAATGTCAGCCCTCTATTTAAAGCACTGAGGATCACATTCACATAAGCTTCATATTAATTAGATAAATTATACACTTCAGGTATAAGTACCAAATTTTCTAAAGTATTGTTGTTATAATTAAAACTAAAGTGTGTAACTAACCAAAACAAATTGTGTCTCAAACACAGATTGTGGATGCTATTGACTAATCACTGTCAAGGACTGTTTTCATGATTATACAAGTAATCAGTCATGTTTAGTCAAGACAGTGAGGTGGCCATTGTAAGGTGACCAGCGCTCACTCATTCTTATGGTTATTATGTCCCTGCTGCTTTTCAGACCATCATCTTTCCCACATCTACTTTACAAGGCTGTTACTTACTTTTTGGCTGATTTCTCCTTCCACCACACTTGCCTCCCCCTGTTCCAGCTCCGCATTGTCAATGGCATCTCTTACATTTAGCATTATGGCTGCCCATATCAGCTTGATATGTCTGTTGGGCTCCTGCAGATTTTACTGGACTTTATGCTGAAGCTCTCACTGCTGCTTGGATTGCAGAGCACCCTCGTGAGTAAAGTTTGTTCCTCCAAATAAAAGCATAATAATTTGTTACAACACACGACGGTCCTATGTTCTTTGACACTAGTGTCCAGCGGCGCTCCCTCCAAACTGTGCTCAGCAGGTGTTGCAGTGGAAGTCTCTGGGGCACAGGAGTTGGCA